ATCCTTTGACCATTTATCAATTGGGGAATGACTTGTATTCTTATAAATTTGACTCAGTTCTCTCTGTATTTTAGAAATGAGGCCCTTATCAGAGAGACTGGTTATAAAAATTCTTTCCCAGTTTTCTGTTTCTCGCCTAATCTTGGTTGCATTGGCTTTGTGCAAAAACTTTTCAATTTAATGTAATCAAAATTATCTGTCTTGCATTTTATAATGTTCTCTGTCTCCTGTTTGGTCATAAATTCTTCTGTTCTTCATAAATCTGACAGGTAAACTATTCCTTGCTCTCCCAGTTTGCTTATAGTATCAGCCTTTATATCTAAATCATGTACCCATTTTGGCTTTATTTTGGTATATGGTGTAAGATTTTGGTCTATGCCAATTTTTTGCCATACTCTTTTCCAGTTTTCCCAGTAGTTTTTGTCAAATAGTGAGTTTTTATAAGGATTTTATTCTTGAGTAGCCCTCTTCTGTCCTGGCTGCTGTCTTCCTCAGAACCCTTTGAGATTCTTGCTCTCCAGGTCCAGAAGGCATGTCAGAGCAGCCCTGACTTTCCTCTGGAGAAGGGGGCAGTTATGTCTTGTGAAAGGCTCCCGCCCTTTCTGTCACAGTGCTCAGCCTCTCTGGGCTGGTGAGAATCAGATCCAGACCCGAATTCCCTATTGTTGGTTCCCTGGCCTCTTGGAAGGATGAAGTAAGCTAAGAAGTGAGGGGCTGCTATGCTTTGAGCCTGGCCGGTGTCTGCATGATTGAGGCCCCCATCAGCACACCCGAGCTCTGTGCTGGGCTTGGCCTAGCTCCCCTGTTCTCCTTTCTATCCAGGGGATCTGTATTAGACCCTGACATGCTCACTTCTCCTCGTCCCTCCCTTGATTTTTCACTCAAATGCTTCCTCACTTGACCCAAGGCCACAGAGAGTGAGGACTGGAGGGAGCCTACCTTCCTCAGGTCAGGAGGCCCTGAGTTCAAGACTGCATTCATTGGTAGAGGGAGGGGATCTCTTTCCTCGCTGTGCTTCGCAGTACCAACGTCCAAAAAGAAAACAAAACCAGATACGAGATCCCCTGCCCACTCTCCTTCCCTTCTCTTTCCTTACCAAGTACCCACCTTACTTACCAAACAGCTTGACTCCCCCTTCTTCCACTGTCACTGCCATACCAATCACCACCTCCTTCTCTTGGCTGTCTCAGGCCTCGGGCTTCGTGCCCTCGTGGCCCCAACACAGGGCGGCCATGGCGTCATGCCACTTGGGAAATATGGCCCTGCCATCCTGGAAACTCGAGTCTTCACAGTGTGCTACGACAAATAAGGGCACATTCCTGCTGGGCTTGCTAAACCCTGACTGTTTAAGAGAACAACAGACAGATTTCTTCTTGCTTCTGAAAGAAGACTCTAGATCAGCTTGTGTTTCATACAAAGATTGAGCCCGCTCGTGAATGACTGACAGTGATTCAGGGCCCTGGTCTAGAGCCAGCCAAACGGGCGTTCTATGAAAGAGGAGCCTGAGCCCTGGAGCCACAGAGTGAGCACCTGATTTCTGAGGAAGAGCATGAGGGAGAGTCTGCCCAGCCACAGCTGATGCCCGTGTGAATAAAGGCATGAAGAAGCCGCATTCACTGCTTCCTCGGTACCAGGCGTTGTTCTCAGCCTTGAGCAAGCAGACACAAAAACAGAGATTTACATTCTTTCCTTGTCATGGGGGCGGCCGAGCATACAGGGGAGTGGGAGCCTGGGGAGTTCTGAGTTCTGGTCTGGGGGTCACAGAGAGGGAGAGTGGAGCCATTGGGAAGTGGATGGACGCCCCTGTCCTGGGGCCAGTGGCAAGACTGAGGTGATTTTGGTTCCCTAGTGAAGCTTGAAAGTGCATGTGGTAGGGAAGAAGAGATCCTTTGCTCTCTGGTCCAGAGCGGGTGTAGGACAGTGGGCAAGACGTTACCAGGGATGGCACGGACCAGGCCTGATCACACAGAGCACCTGGCACGGAGCCCTCCACTAAACCCTGGCCAGCCCAAGAGTGGTCACCTTCACCTCGGCTCTCATGCACCTCTCTTGGCCAAGCAGGAGTCCCCCACCTCTGTGCCTCCCACCTGTAACCCGTCCAAAGGGCCAGCATCCACACGAGCATCCAGGCTGCCACCCACCTTCCTCTAGCCCAGCCTGCTGCCATGTTTGATTCTGAGGGACAGCTTTCATTCATTCATTCATCATTCATCCAAATGCTTTTGAAACAGCCCTCATGCGCTAGAAGCTGGAGGAAGTAATGAGGTTAGGTGAGGGACACTGCAGCCCCCATGTGTGGAGCACAGGAGTGTCCGTGTCTGGTACGCTGCAACACCCAACATCATTGAGGGGCCTCTGAAGGAAGAGGGATGGGCAGAGGGGGAAACTGAGGCAGACAAGATGAAGTGAGTTGTGAGTGGGCAGGGGGTGGGGGAGTAAAGCGTAGCATAGCCCTGCTGGAGAGGCAGAGACAGGAGCAGGTTTGGACATCCAGAGAGGCGCACATGCCTCTGAGGCCGGGGCTCATCGGCTTCTCCCCAGCTCGTTCCCCCACCACGCAGAGCCTCCTATGGGCTAAGGAATGTGTTAATGCGGCTCTCCAAATGCTGACCAGACAGCCCCAGGCCCCTCCCAGCTCTGAGATCCTGAAGGTCAGTGCCAGGACCCAGAGCTGTCCAGTCAGGGGCCTCCTTCCTCTGCATGGCCTCAGGAGCCACCTCCGTGTTGTAGACTCACCCATCCCTCAGAACTGGGGTCCGCTGTGAGCACCAGGCCTCCGTCACCTTTAGCTAGGCTTTTATCCTGAGCTCCGGTCACTCACTTAACAACCAGCCCAATCCCAAACCCCTACTAAGTGGGGCCAGGATCACACACTGCCTCCCATCTATAAAATGGGAGGGTGCATCTCTTGGGAGAGTTGAAAGGAATTAATTTGTAACTTCACTAAAGCCTGAGTAGAGCTCTGGGCAGTGATAGCCACCAGGGGGCACACTTGACTGTCCAGTCCTTGTAACTTTCAAAGCCTGACCCAAACCCTGCGCGAGAGAAGCCAGGTGGCCCCTGGGTAACTGAGGCCAAGGTTGGAACAGCAGGATGGCCTGTCCTCAAGTGTCCGACGTGTGGAGACGGGATTGTACTTTTCCTTCAAAATCTGCCAGGGGCAAATGGAGGCAGGATGGCCTGAGAAGCTGCCAATGGTGAGGGCTGCCCCGAGCTGGCGTGCGCTGCCCGCTGGGTGGGCAGGGTTCCCCGCTGTCACTGGCGGGTTTCAGGCACAGCCTGGCTGATCATTTGTTAGGGGTGATGTAGGAGGTTCCTGTCTGCATTCTGGCTGGGCTTGGAGGGCCTTCAAACTCCAAAGTTCTGTACAATGTACTAGAAAGTGTAAAATGCGGCCTAAATGTCAGCAGGTTTTTAAAAATCTCTTTCCTCTCCAGTTCCTTTCTGTTGCCTTTTCTCACCAAGCTGCAAACATGCTCAGGGTCTGAGAGCGCTGAGAAAGTTGATCAGTAGCCTATCAAACGTGTCCCGTCCCTCCCTTCTTTCAAGAAGTTGTCTGTCTCTAAAGCAGAAGGGAATGAGCATTGATTAAATGCCTGCTGTGTGCCAAGTACATGCCAAGTGTAACTATCATCTTATCTGCTCCTCACCACAGCCTTCGGAGGCAGGTGCTGTTATCTCCATTTTTCATTTGGGGGAAACGAAGGCAGCCAGCACTGGCTAGCAAGTGCCTGAGGCTCTATTTTTACTCCTCCAGGCCCAGCCCCTGGGGTGTTCCACTGCTTTATCTCCCTCTCTCTCATCTACCCCTTTTGGTCTGGGCCCTCTCTTGCTCAGGCTACAAAAATTTCCCTCCCCAAAGTCTCCTAGTGACTGCTCAGTCCCCAAATCCACCCAAATCCAAAATCTTTTCCAGGCTCCTCTTCTTTGACTGGTCTGCCAGCATTCTGTGCTGTCCATAACCTCTTCCCGATGATTTTCTCTTCCACTGGGGAGCCACGATGCCATGTTCTCCTGACTTTTTCTCTCGCCATTCCTTCTTTGTCTTGGCCTCTCCCTGGCCCCGTGAGGTCACTTCTCTTTCTTCCTTCTCTCACTTAGCATTATCAGTCACAACAGTCCATCTCCAGCCTATGGGCCTTGGATCACATCATTCTGACCCTGAAATACTGCCCCCAACCATTTATCATCTCAAATATGATCTTTTCCACAAAGTCTTCCCGAATCCCCGATCAATATAAACTTCTACATCGGGTTTCCTGTAGCACTTTGCTTGTGCCTCTCTTATGCATTGATAATGTTTTATTATTATTATTTGTGTGTGTGTAATAAATATATCCTTTCTAGCCAGTAAACACCACACCACACCCCCCCAAAGTCAGGGTCATGCCTCTTCTCAACTCTGCATCTCCCTCAGCACCACATGCAGGGCTCTGGCTGCATACAGTAGAGGCCTAATGGATATTTGTTGTATTGATTTAAAATATTTGTAGTTTTATTCTCAAACTTTGAGATGCTACAAGGGTGGCTAGTCATAGCAATACACAGAAATAAGATACGATACACTTGATTTGATAGAGTAAAGCTCTTACCTCTCTCTAAAGCTCAGGAAGATTGGGGGAAATGAACAGATTCAAACCCAAATCCATGTGCCAGCCACAGTTTCACATCTTCTTTCATATCAGACTGAAGTTTGCAACGATAGTGTTTCATTAGCAGGACTGCAGACCCGTTGCAGAACATACCTCATGGAGTTACTTACCTCGTTCCCCTCCAGCAATAGTCCTTGAAGCAGGAGAATCCTCTTGGGTGAACTGTCTGGTGGCCCGATGGAGAGAAGAGCGGTCCCCTAGTTGCTGACTGTCCGGGGTGTCCAGAGTCTCAGCGGAGTTTTTTAAGTCACTGAAGCTTACAGTCCCACTCTGCCCTTTGGGATGCCTGGTGTTTATCTCACCTGTGTTCGTGCTAACCGCTCTCTTTCTTCTGTTGTTTCTTCCCAGGCTTCCACCATGTTAAGAGCCTCCTTGGCACCTGTGTAAGTATGTGCTTCCAAAACTTTTCCTGAGTGGTTTTATTGAGGGAGACTCTGTAAAACGGACCCTGTGAGGCCCCCTGAAGAGCGGAGGTGATGAGCTCACCTCTCCCTCTGGGTCTTAGTCGAAGGGCGCTGTTCTTCCCTTTCAGAACTTGCAGGAATACCTATGGTACCATCGGACAAGCCAACATGTGTGGGGTGGGTCTGCTTCGGGTGACTCTTTGTGCCTGGTGCTAACTAAGTGGTGGGATGAGAAAGCACCAGCGGGGAGTAGGGCTGAAGGGCCGTCTTCCCATGGAGCCTTGTGATGCCATCGGGTGAGGAAGGGCAATGACAGGTGTGGCACCTGTGTGCCCGTGAGCCTCGCAGACTGTGGGGCAGCAATGAAGGCGCTGGTGGGTTTTTGTCATTGTGTCCCAGCACCTTGCACAATGCTTGGCACGCAGTGGGCACTTCAGAAACACTTATTGATGGAGCGATTGCTGTTTGGACGTGGTCAGTGTTGAATGTGTGATCTTGTCACACACCAAATGCAGAAAGCAGAGTTTGTGAAGTTTCTTCTAAGCCCTTGACCTGGAGAAGCAGGAGTTCGACTCAGTCTGTAGCTCCAGAGAGAGCGATCAATGCACTAAATACTAGTCCTCTTTGGGCCAGTTTAAGTAAAAAGAAGGACTTCCTGACGATTAGAGGCGTCCACCCGTAGAGCCTGGCTCCTTCCAGGGTCGAGGCCGGGCGACTGGCTGCCAGTTCTGAGCCTGCAACCTGGCAGTGGTGAACACCTTGGCAGAGTGAGGTGTCTCTGTGCAGCACCTTATTTGATAGCAGTAGTCGGAGAGCCATCCAGCCAAGCTAGCTCTTCTGTCTTTCGAGGAATTTCGTGGAATTGTGACGCACGCCCGTGAGATTCTTTGTTGGAAGAGAGGCCCTTAGGCTGCCTTGGGCTCCAGGGAGACAGTGGTCAGTGTCCAGTAGCATAAAGAGACCTTGTGTCCTTCTCTCTCGGGTGATGGTGAAGACGGGGACGCTGGCTGGGAGAGCCTCTGCCAGCGCCCTGGGTGCCCTTCCTCAAGGGGGGGTTGTGCTTCTGAGGAGCCATCCGGGTGGGAGCAGGCTGAGGGGGTGGTAGTGGAAGCTTCCTCCGGGTCGCCTCTTTGGGGCACTGGCAGAGTCGGAGACTTTTCCCACCCCTCCACCTCGTTGGCCTTGCTTCTCCTGATCGTTACAGAGACCCATAACCACGTAAAAGGTCGCGGCCTGTTGTTCTTCACAGGAAAAGCCAAGCAGACTAGCGTCTGTGGAGATACATGTGTACATGTGTGTGTATATACACGTGCATCTGTACATGTGTGTGCACACACATGTCTTTAACAGGAGCGGCAGGGCAGCAGGACCCCGGGTCCGAGAGAAGGAGGAGAACAGGCTGCTCTGTCTCTGGGGCACTGCTAGGGTCTTTGGATGAACCCAGGGTCTTCCCCAAAGCCGTCTTCTCTTTTATCACGAGTCTGCTTCCCGTGTCGCACCTTAACAAGTCATGGAACAAAGTAGCCTCCAGAGCACCAAAGGCGAGGCTCACACATGGGCCAGTGGAGAAGAGTGGGCTAGGCAGGAGAGGGTTGCCGCATGTAACAGTCAGTCAGTCAACAAGCATTTTAAAAGGGGCTGTTCTGCCTGCCCCAGGCACTGTGCTGGGTGCTGAGGAGGCCAAGGCAAGGATGAAGCAGTGCCTGCCCTCAAGAATCTGACCCTCTTGGGGCATCTAGGTGGCAGAGTGGATAGGGCACTGGCCCTGGAGTCAGGAGGACCTGAGTTCAAATCCAGCCCCAGACACATAACACTCACCAGCTGTGTGACTCTGGGCAAGTCACTTAACCCCACTGCCTCACAAAAAAAAAAGACTCTGACTCTCTCTTGGAAGGGAAAACAAGTATACACAATAATGTGGACAAAACAAGTGAGGGTCAGCCCAAAGTCCTTTTTGTGAGGGGGCAGGAGTAGCCCCCCCCTTCAGGAAAGGCCTCCTAGAGGAGGAGGTGCTTCAGCGAGGGGGAGGGGAAGAAGGAGTGCAGTCAGGGTGTGGGCACAGCTTGGGCAAAGGGGTGGCAGAAGGAAAAAGGAATGTCATGTGAGAGGAGTGATAAAAAGGTTAGTTCAGTTGGACCATCATCACAATGGCTAGGGTTTCTATGGCCTTTAAAGCTGGCAAAGCACTTTATAGGTGTGAGTTCATTTAATCCACGCAACAGCCTTGAGAGGTAGGCACTGTTATTGTCACCCCCATTTTACAGATGAAAAACTGAGGCTGAGAAAGATTAGGTGACTTGCTCAGGGTCATACAGGTAGTAAGTGTCTGAGTCAGGAATTGAACTCAAGTCATTCCTGCCTCTTAAGTGCAGCCCCATCTAGTCCACAGGCACAACCCTAAGCTGCCTTTGAATTTTTTTAAAAATAGTATTTTTTTTCCAATTACATGTAAGGACAATTTTTAACATCCTTTTTTTAAAAAAAATTTGAGTTCAAATTTTTCTCCCTCCTTTTCTCCTCCCTAAAAGGGTAAACAATTTGATATAGGTTATATATGTACAATCATATAAAACATTTCTATATTAGTCATATTGTGAAAGAAGAACAAACCAAGAGGAAAAAACCATGAAAAAAATAAAGTGAAAACAGTCTGCTTCAGTCTGCATTCAGGCTCCAGTAATTCTTTCTCTGGATGTGGGTGGCATTTTCCATCATGATTCCTTTGGATTGTCCTGGATTACTGTATTGCCAAGAAGAGCTGAGCCATTCAGAGTCGATCATCACACAGTTTTACTGTTACAGTGTACAACGTTCTGGTTCTGCTCATCTCACTTTGCTCGTGTAAGTCTTCCCAGGTTTTTCTGAAGTCCACCTGCTCACCATTTCTCATTGCACAGTAGTATTCCATTATGTTCGTGTGCCACAACTTGTTCAGCCATTCCCCAATTCATGGGTATCCCCCCAGTAGCCAATGTTTTGCTCTCACAAAAAGAGCTGCTAGGTCCCTTTCCCCTTCTTTTATGATCTCTGCCATAAAGACCTGATACTATATTGCTGCACAGTCTTATAGCCCTTTGGGCATAGTTCCAAATTGCTTCCCAGAATGGTTGGATCATTATTTCATAATTCCACCAGCAATACGTTAGTGTCCCAGCTTTCCCGTATCCTCTCCAGCCTTTATCATTTTCTTTTCTGTCATGTTAGTCAGTCTGATTGCTGTGAGGCGTTAGCTCAGAGTTATTTTTAATTTACATTTCTCTAATCAGTGATTTAGAATAGTTTTATATAACTATAGAGAGCTTTGATGTCTTCATCTGAAAACACCCTGTTCACATCCTTTGACTATTTATCAATTGGAGAATGACTTGTATTCTTATAGATTTGACACCGTTTTCTATATATTTGAGAAATGAGGCCTTTATCAGAGACACTGGCTGTAAAGATTGTTTCCCGGCTTTTTGCTTTCCTTCTAATCTTGGTTGCACTGGTTCTGTTCCACAAAATTGTTTTAGTTTAATCAGAATTATCCATTTTACGTCTCATCATGCTCTCTGTTTCATTTGGTCCAAAATTCTTCCCTTCTCCTTATATCTGGCAGGCAGACTATTCCTTGCTCTCATTTGTTTGTGCTATCACCTTTCACGTCTAAGTCATGTGCTCAGGTTGACCTTAACTTGGTATGCAATGTCAGACGCTGATCCGTGCCTAGTTTCTGCCATGCTGTTTTCCAGTTTTCCCAACAGTTTTTGTCATACTGAGTTCTTATCCCAGAGCCTGGGGTATTTGGGTTTCTCAAGCACTAAGTTACTATGGTCATTTACTGCTGTGTCTTGTGTACCTAATTCATTCCCCTGGTCCACTCCTCTATGGCTTAGCTAATGCTGATAGTTTTGGTGGTGATTGCTGCTTCATCATACAGTTTAAGATCTGGTCCCTGCCTGTGAATTAAAGGGTAGTCATGTAGAATGTTCCTGGGCCCTGCAGTATAAGGCTCTAAGGAAGGCTGGGACCAGGTTAAGGGCTCTAAATGCTGATCAGAGATACTCAGGGCTCATTGGACTTTGGACTATCGAACAGCTAAGTGATGTGATCAGACCAGCATGCATCTGTGGGCAGCATGCACAGGGAGAGGTTTAAGAGAGGGCTTCTGAAATCAGGAGGGAAGAGGGAAAGAAGACGTGACCCAGGTGGCCATGGGGACAAATAGAAGACATGTTGTGGCGATAGAAACAGCAGGATTTGGAGTGAGGGTTGCTCTGAGATGGGGTGGGACTGAACGATGGTGATAAGAGGCTTAAAGGACTCAATCAAAGAAAAACAAGAGGAGCTGGTCATCAGAGCAAATCAATGGGCAACCTGTGTGCTCCATTCGTGTCCATGTCATGTCAAGAGAAAGGAGGGTAGATGTCCAGCACGTTGGCTGGACCACCCCCCCTCCCTCCGTACCACCCCACCCCTTGATCACACAAATAATTTGGCTAACCTATGAGAAAACATGAATAAGAGCTGCCCAGAACAGGCAACTGTAGATGGGGGAGAGAATACTCACGTGGATGGGAGCCCAGATTCATTGGTCTGTTAGAGGTTGTGGGTTATGCCCCTACCATGCCTCTGGACTCAAAGACTCTGTGAACAGACGTTGTTCTCTTCGAAATAATCCTCATGGGAGACAAGCCAGAAGCCTTTCCAATAAGATCAGGGGTGAAGCAAGGGTGTCCATCATCACCATTACAGTCAGTTTTGTACAAGGAATGCTAGCAATAGCTGTAAGACAAGAAAAAGAAATGGAAGAAATCAGCATAGGCCATGAGGAAACACAAGTGTCGCTTTTTGCTGACGATATGATAGTTTACTTAGAAAACCCTAGAGAATCAACTAAAAAACTAATTGGAACAATTAACTTCAGCAGAGTTGCAGGATATGAAATAAACCCATACAAATCATCAGTCTTATTTTAGATTACCAACGAAATCTAGCAGGAAGACATAGAAAAATTCCATTTAAAATAACTATGGACACTATAAAAGGCTTGACAATCTACCTGCTAAGACACATGCCAGAACTACATAAACACAATTATGATACACTCTTTACACAACTACAGATCTAAATAATTGAAGAAATAGTAATTGCTCGTGGTAGACTGAACTGATATAATAAAAAATGAGAATACTACATAAATTAATTTACTTATTCAATGCCAAACTACCAAAGAATTACTTTATAAAGCTAGAAAAAATAACAAAATTCATCTGGAAGGACAGAAGGTTAAGAATATCAAGGGAATCAATGAAAAAACAATGGGAAGGAAGGGGGCCTAGGAATAGCAAATCTCAAACTATATTACAAAAAGGTAATCATCAAAATACTGTTACTGGGTAAGAAATAGAAAGACTAATCCGTGGGATATATTAGGTAACCTAGTGACTGTTTGATAAACTCAAAAGATCTCAGCTACTGGGGCAAAAACTCACTTTGTGACAAAAACTCTTGGGAAAACTGTAAAATAGTCTAACAGAAATGAGGCGTTCCATGATCAGCGTGAGATGGGCAGATGATTTAGATTGGGGTGGGGAGCCTGTGGCCTGGAGGCCACACGTGGCCTTCTCGTCCTTGGGTGTGGCCCTTTTTCTGCGTCCAAGTTTTACAGAGCAAATCCTTTTATGAAGGGGACTTGTTCTGTGAAGTTTGGGTTCAGTCAGAGGGTCGTACCTGAGGACGAGAAGGCCACATGTGGCCTCGAGGCAGCAGGTTCCCTACCTCTGATTTCGACAAAAAGGGTGATAAAAGCAAACAAAGGAAGCATAAAAGAAATTACCTGTTAGATCCACAGGTAGGAGAGGAACTCATGACCAAACAAGATATTGAGTGGTTCACAGGAAGTAAAGGGGATAATTTTGGTTACATAAAACTAAGAAGTTTTTGCACAAACAAAACCGATGCATCCAACTTTATAAGCAAAGCAGGAAATGAGAGGAAATTTTTGTAGTGAGTTTCTCTGATAAACTTCTTATTTCTGAAATATACAGATTTGGCTGTGTGTACCCTTTGACCCGGCAGTACCACTACTAGGTCTGTATCCCAAAGAGTTCAAAGAAAAAGGAAAAGGACCTAAATAGAAAAATATTCATAGCAGCTCTTTTTGTAGTGGCAAAGAATTGGAACCTGAGAAAGGTGCCCATTAATCAGGGAATGGCCGAACAAGTTGTGTTATATGATTGTGATGGAAAACCATTGTGCTAATGAGAAATGACGAGGGTGGTATCCTGGAGAAAACCTGGAAACGGATGCAAAACAAAGAGAGCAAAAGCAGGAGATCACTGATACTGGGACAGGAACAGGAATATTGCAGTGCTAACCAACTGTGACAGACTTAGTAATCCTGAGCAACACAACGATCTACCCCAATTCCAAAGGACTCAGGATGAAACAGGATAAAACCTCCTGTTAAACTCAGAGTACACATTTTTTTAATTTTATTTTTAACTCAGGGTGCAAATTGAAGCATATTTTCTTCTCTCCCTTCCTCCCTTCTTTCCTTGCCCATGATTATACATTTTTGAAATGGGCTTTGTTTTTCTTACTTCCTAAATAGGTGGAGAAGGGAGAGGAAGAGAATTTGGAAAACAGAATTTAAAAAATAACATGAGACCAAAAAAATTTTTTTAAATCCCCACGGAAGGCAATATACCTTTCCAGTAATATATGTATTACAATACATTAACATTATTCAAAATGTCTCTGGAACTCTTCGTTCCCTCTCTGTGTTGAAAAGTGGACCTTGTTGTTTCTGAAGGGGCAGGTCTGTGCCAGCCACCATGTGATCGATCACTGGAGGCCGTGGCCAGGCATTTCAGGAGATGGGAAGGTATCAGAAAGGTCAGCTTTTGAGCCATCATCTCCCTCCACCAGCAGTCAACCAAAATTTTCAAGTTGTGATGGGTAGATAGAGTGCTGACCTTGAGGACAGGAAGATTGAATTCACATACTGCCACAGATACCAGTGGTATGACCCTGGACAGATCACTTAGATGCTGCCTGCCTCAGTTTCATCCCCTGTACAATGGGGATAATAATAGTATGTTTCTCCCAGGATTGTTTTGCTGATCTGAGTGACATAACATTTGCAAAGTGCTCAGTCTGTGCTAGCTGTTATCATTATTATTGTCGGTAGAGACCAGTGAAGCTGCCCAGGGCTGCTACCCCTTCTGTTCTGTAGGACCAACCATGAGCTGGGGCTGGTGACAGTGTGGGGCCAGGAGTTTAGGAGGGACAGTGATGAGCCAGAGAGGACCCAGCGGAGGGCAGCCAGGCTGGGCAGGGCCTCGAGTCCACGTCACAGGAGGATTAGCTGAAAGAACCCTGGGAGGCTTAGCCAGGAGAAGAGAAGAGGGGGCTGAGACAGAAGGGCCCACATGGTTTCTGAAGGGCTACTTTGTGGAGGAGGGATTGAGCGTGTCCTGTTTGGCCTCGGCATGGGGGGAAGGGTACAAGGGCTGATCTAGTTCAGGCTTGAAGTGAGGAACGCTTCCTCCCAGTGAGAGCTGTGCCAGGTAAGGGGGAGTCTTTGAGCAGAGACTGGATGGTCCCCTGAGCGGGGATGTTGGAGGGCCAGGTGCCCACCGCCAGCCCTCCCCCCTCAAAATTCAAGGATCACTAACCAAGGACTCTTTTTCCTTTTCCTTTCATCTTGTGCTGAGCAGGAAGCTGAAGGAAATCCCACTGCTGCCCTCCCTGGATTATGAGAAACTGAAGAAAGATCTGACCTTTGGGAATGACCGATTGAAGGCCTTTTTGCTGCAGGCTCTGCGATGGGTAGGTGCACGCTGGGCCCTGGAGCCAGAAAGTAGCAGGTCTCCTCCTGGTCCTCATTGGGCCCATGTCTTTAAAGTGGGCATGTGGTGTTCTCCTGCCAGTTGACAGGAGTTAACTCGTCGTAGAAAACAGAAAGCAGTGTTTAGAAATGAATCTTGGTGGCCCTTCAGTTATCAAGTGCCTTCTAATAGCACGTAGATGCAGTAGGGCCAGAAGACCCCCTGCTGGCCAGTGGCGCATTTACTGTCCCCAGCTCACTTGAGGCTGGCAGGCTCTGTCTCCTTAGGGACTTTTCCTGCAGTTAGAGACCATTGTCTCCCAGGGCCCATGGGTGCTGCTGCAGCTAAGGCTGACGTTTCAGCTTTGAAGGTACCAGTGAGAGGAAACCTTCTGGGGCAGCTGGGTGGCGCGGTAAATAGAGCACCGGCCCAGTCAGGAGGAGCTGAGTTCAAATGTGGCCTCAGACCAAACCCTTGCCACTTACTAGCTGTGTGACCCTGGGCAAGTCACTTAACCCCAACTGCCTTAAAAAAAAAAAAAGGCAACAGAGAGGAAACCTTCCTTGTGAGACAGTTCAAGGCTTTCCGCAGTCCAGACCTGGCCTGCTCTGTTAGCACCAACTTCTGGTGGATAAATAGTAGAAAGCTGCTGTCCAGCCAGATGTTGGGGGGGGAGCAGACAGAGGAAGTGAGGGGGAGAGAGAAAGGGAGGAAAGATAACACATAAGGGGAGCTAGGCAAGGAGGGGAACGGTCTGGAGATAGTTGCAAAGTGCGGTGGAGGCCTGAATCCCAGCATCATCCTCATAACAACCAGAACAATAAATAACTAGTCTTTACATGATGCTTTAAGGTTTGCAAAGTATTTTATAAACTTATGTCATTTCATCCTTACAGCCCTGGGAGGCAGGTGCTATTGTCATCCCCTTTTTACAGATGAGGAACTGAGGCAGATAACAGTGAAGTGACTTGCCCAGGGTCCCTCAGCTAGTAAGTGCCGGAAGTCAGACTTGAACTCAGGTCTCCTTGACTCCAGGTTCATTGCTCTATTGACTGTGTCGCGGCTGCCTCTAAGACGGGGGGAAACCGTCAGAACCTAGGAGTTCACAGTCCAAGCTTCTGATGGGGAGAGGGAAAGGATGGAGGCCAAGTGGAGGCTGTGCAGTTGGAGATGCCAGGGAGTGGGCTGCCGGTCTGGAGCCTGGCCTCCTGGTGCTCTGTGCACACTTGACTCCAAGCAGCCTGGCTTCTCACCGTCCTCGGAACATGTGCGGCAGGCATTCCCTGCTTCGCCGTCGCGTGTCCCCTCCCCCCCAGCCCGCCTGGTGATGACTCTCTTGGTTTCTCTGTGGAATGTACGGCCCTGTTAGAGTGCAAGCTGTTTGAGGGTAGACATTTCCCTTTCGTCTTCCCCCCCAGAGCCTGCCCAGCACACAGTAGGTAGTATGTAGTGATTGAATTTTTTTCCCTCTGGCCTAGGCCCTTTCCACCATGTGGATGAATGGCCTTTGGATTTGTTCTTTCTTCTTCTCGTCCTTCCTAGCGTCTGACCACGTCTCATCCTGGAGAACAAAGAGAGACCGTGCTGCAGGCCTACATCACCAACGACCTGCTGGACTGTCAGAGCAGCAGCCAGGTGTGTGTGACCCCCTGCTGGGCCTGCCCAGGCCTCCCCACTGTGAGCACTCTTCCCAGGGCACGGCAGCAGCGGCTTTAGAGTGAGGCTGGGAGGGGGGGGCCAGCGAGGTGGTGCAGTGGATAGAGCACCGGCTCTGAAGTCAGGAGGACCTGAGTTCAAATCCGGCGTCAGACCAAACACTTGACACTTAACTGGCTGTGTGACCTTGGGCAAGTCACTTAACCCCAATTGCCTCACTAAAAAAAAAAATTAGAGTGCGGCTCCTGGACTAGCTTTTGACAGGGTCTGTGCGTGAGGAGCATAGAATCTCAGCTGCTCAGTGGGGGGCAGAGACCGTGGCCAGAGCCTGGCCCACAACTTCGGTTCCTGTGTATCCTCCAGCCTGCTGTCCCTCAGCTGTGAGTGTGTGAATGGCGGGTGAGCAAGTGTGCATTGGTCCTGGGGTCTGCGTCAGAGAATTCTGTTCACCCACTTGTGAAAGGCAGGCCTAGGCTGGACCCTGGCAGCTCAGATGCTGCAAGGTATTTGGCCTTAATTAGGCCTGAGGTGTACCTGCAGTGAGTGGACAAGAGGGAGCCATGGAGAAGAAATGGAGAACAGCTCAGGAGGCCACGATGACTGTGTTAGGGGAGGGCTGTCCCAGCGAGGAGGCTCCCTCTGGCAACTCAGGTCAGCAGCTGCTCTGCTGGGCACGTTCAGAGGTGAAGTGCCCTGCCTGGGGCCACCAAGCCCGTGTGTGTGTGTGTGTGTGTGTGTGTGTGTGTGTGTGTGTGTGTGTGTGTGTGTGTTGTCTGTGTGTGTGTGTGTGTGTGTGTCTGTGTGTGTGTGTGTGTGTGTGTGTGTGTGTGTGTGTGTCTGTGTGTCTGTGTGTCTGTGTGTGTGTCTGTGTCTCAGAGGCAGGACCAGGCTTCCTGACTTGGAGGGCACTTTTCTCTTCACAGTCCACACTGACAGCACAGTCACGTTACCCAGCTGTGGCCTCTGACATTCGCCTTGTTGCTGAGGCGACAGTTGAGGCTTGAGAAGGGTCATCTGTGTCCCTTCCTCCTGCATCAGAGGGAGAAGAACGAAGCCCAGAGGGGCGCGGTGGGGGAGGCCTCCCACAGAGTTTGTAAGCTTGTGATCGTGCCCATGCTGGGAAGGCCAACACAGCCCTAGCTCTCTGTTAACCATTTGTCCTGTGGCTTGGATCACTTAGTCACTTGAAAGGCCGGACAGCTGATCCATTCCCCAATGAAATCCTTGCCCTTTTTTGGTTATCTAGTTTCCTGCTGAGGAAAGCATTCAGGTTCTGTGTGAGCAGCATGGGTGAGGAGGTCAGAGATTCTCTCTGAAAATTCACATGCACAACTGCTCAGCACCCTATGTCTGTGATCCCGTAGGACATCAGAGCACCTGAGTCAACAGCACAGAGTCAAAGAAATCAGGCTATTTAAATTGAACTTGTGAATTAATCCAGCTTTTCCATGTCACATGGGTGTTTACATAGAAATTTAATTCAGTAATTAGTCATTAACTGTGTGCAGTTCAAGCTGTGATACACATGTTCTGTGTGACCCTGGACAAGTCGCAATCTCTGAGAGATTCAGGCTGTCTGTCACAGACTGGCTGTTGATCTGCATTAGCAGAGGGCATTTCCACACCAAGACCTTCCTGCCCTGAAGAAAGGCCCTAAAGGAAGAAAGTACAAGGCTAAGGATACAAAGCCAGGCACCCTCCCCTCCCCAGCCCCAGGTTCTGCTGGAGGATGTAGCATGAGCACAGAAGGAAATACAGGGAGGGCGGAAGGAGGGAGAGAAAAGGAACCATGTACAACATCAGGAAAGGCTTGTCTGGGGAGGGAGCCTGCCACGAAGGAGGGAGTGCTTGGACCAGTGCTCAGACATGGGCAAGGGGAGGGAGAGTGTAGCTGGGGGCAGGGTCAGTTCTACTGGCAAGGGAGGTTGGAACCCAGTGGAAGGAGACTTCAGCCATGGGCCAGGGGTGACGCAGAGCGCAGAGGCCTGTTAGGAGAGGGGTGGTGAGGACCTGAGTTTAGCTGGTGGCTAGGAGGGATGAGCAGGAAGGCCAGATGCCAGCCCCCGGGAGTTGAGAGGACTCAGCTACTGATGAGCGGGCGATGAGGAGGGAGGAGGCGAGGATGGTGCCACAATGCAGTTTGGAGGAGGGGGAGGAAGAGTCTTAGCAGGAAAGGGAAGAAGACCTGCTTGGGGCATGCTGAGTCTGAGATAGGTGTTGATGGGACATCCAGCTGGAAATGTCCGTCAGGCTGCTAATAGTATAGAACGCATTCAGGAGAGCTCATGGAGCTAGTGACAATTGTGTCTTCCTTCATGGAGCCGATAATGGAATCACTGAGAGCCAAGCTTATAAGAAGAGAAGGCCTGGGACGGAGTCCTGAGGGATGGGGGGATGTGGGCAATGATCCAGCAAAGGGCCCTGAGAAGGAGCAGATGCGGGGTTGTGGGAGTAAGAGAGGACAGACTGCAGCGTCTGGAACTTCAGGGAGGCCGAGGAGGATGAGGACTGGGCCATGGTCCCAGAGGATCTCAGAGCTGGAAAGGACCCCCCAGGCCAGGGAGTCTGACCTCTCCTTGACCCCCTCCACATTGGACCTGACCCCTCTTACCTGTGCAGACTTTCTGAAGACCTTCGGGGAACCTGGACAGAGCTGATTTCCTTACACTGACCCTTTCTGCCTATCTTAGGCAAGGTGCTCTCTGGCCCCTCGTGCAGATAATTTAAACAATAAAAAAATCCTTTCACTAAATACCAAGCCTACAAAGGCTTTGCAGACACCCCCTTTGCTAGGCTGTCTGGATGCAGGGCTGTCCAGGACCCTGGTAGTTGGGGGTCCCCCAGCCCTGGAAAGAATTGATGGCATTTCTGTTAGAATCCTCCCAAGGCGTTCAGCCCAGCCCAGTCCAGTCCTAGGACCCCACCACTAAGGGCTGCTAAGGCATTAAGATCGTTAAGGCATTAAGAGCCTAATCAGCTCAAGGCACCAACTGTTCTGTCTCTGAAACTGCCACCCATCGATCGTGCTTCTCCTCACACAGCCACTCTGCCCCAAGCCCCTTCTAGCCCCACTTCAGGCTGGCCTCCCTCCTCCCCTCCTGCACCTCCTCTACTAAGCTCCTAGAAAGTCAATAATTTTGTGATGGTAAATTAGGCCCTCTTTTCTCTCAGTTCTTATCTAGCCCTTGGTCATTGAATGGGTGTTGCCTCAGACAAACTGAGGCCTGAGAAGGACCTTAACTTGGGCCAAGGTCACCCACTGCTTCCCAGACCTGGTCCTGCCATTGGACTTTCACATCTCAGGAGGAGAGAGTGAGGTCTAGGACTTTGCTGAGCTCTGCTTCACTTAATCCAGTTCACGCAGGAGCCGAGACATCACCCCATGATGTCATTGATTCCCTCCCAGAACAAAGAACAAACCATGCCTGGGAGAAGAACCCACCGGGGATTCTTGCCTCTTCCACCTCTGTACCCCCTACCCTGGTCTCAGCCTCATGAGCCAGGCTTCCCACCCTCCCTTCACATTCTCCCAGGGAGCCAGTGATCCTTTCGCTGCTAACCCCTTTGAAAAGATGGGTGCGTCGGCCTCAGCTTTGTGGATGGCCAAAGGTGAGGAGAGGGGGATGGCTACTCCCCTGGATGTGAAGCATCGGGGTCCAGAGGCTCTTGGTGGGCTGAAGCATGAGACGACTTAGAATGAGATGTGATTTGGTAAGGCCAAACATGAAGGTTTGTGCTTAGGCTCCAGAAAGGAGGCAGAGGAGGTGTGGCTAGGCAGCAGTTTAAGCCAGCATTTCATCTGCAAATGATCTGGAGGACTTAGTGGCTGGCAAGCTCAGCCTGAGTCAGCAGAGGCCTGCAATGTCCGACTGCATGGAAAGGCTTAGCGCCAGAACTGGGAGCTAAGCTTATTCCTTCTGTACTAAGCCTTGATGGACAGAACTGGAATGCTGAGTTCAGTTCTGGGCGCCACATTTTAGGAAGGACTGTGATAACCTACCCGTGATCCTCAGGCAGCAATGAAGCGTTTACACGGTACTTTAAGGAAACACTTTGCAAATACTAGCTGTCTCAACAACCTTGGGAGAAAGAAGAGGAAACTGAGGCAAACAGGTTCAGTAACTTTTCCAGGGCACCACAGCTAATTAAGTGTCTGTGGCAACATTTGAATTCAGGTCCTCCTGACCCCAAGCCTCAGCTGGTGAAGGTCCAGGCTAGCCACTGTGAACAGTATAATAGAGGGATAATTGGGAGAACAGAGAAGGATGAGGTGACTGGAGGTGATCCTGAGGATAAAGACTAGGTCTAGGAGTGAGGTCTTGGAAGGGATGAAAGGCCGAATAATTATCATCTGAGAGGGGAATTTCAGAGTTGTGACCTTGAGGCTCACCATCTGATCCCCCCCAGCAGCCTGCACCTCAGTCATGGCCTACATCTCCCGGCTGCTGTTTCCTTCCCTGCTGCCTTCAGACAGGCCCAGGGCCCCCATCCTTCCCTAGTCCCTGCCAAGCCCTACTCTCTCATCCAAATGTCTCCTCCCTTTCTCAGCCACTCATTGCCTGCACTCCCTCACTTCTCATTCATTTCTCAGTCAGCGCAGTCTGGCTTCCAGCCTTCTTCAGTGTCGGGCTAGCTTGCTGAAGAGGTGGCCTTTTCTTGCTGCTCATCCCCCTCGGCCTCTGCTGCATTTGCTGCCATCAGCCACCTTCTGTCCCCTCAGGGTCTGGAGACACCCGCTCTCTTCCCCCTTCTCCCTTTCCGCATTTCAGAGTCGGTTCATGGGCGATCAGTTCCACCATGATCTGCATCCCTGGCCCTCACTGCCTTCTTTAACCAAGGCCTTCTCTGCTCGTATGCCTACTGCCCAACACTTCTTCCCTGACGGACTCGTCACGCTGCCTGTAATGGCTCTCATGAACCTTCTCCCCACTTTCATGGCAGATGACTCAGCCTCCCAGCTGCCCGAGGAACACAGGCCATCTGCCCCAGAACCCTCGGCCTTGTCTCCTTCGCTCTTGTCCAAGGAGGAGATGGCCTGGTCAAGGCCCACCTCAGGGCAGTTGTGCCCGGGATTCCATTCCCATCTCTTCAGAATTCTCCCCTCTTTAGCATCTCCTTCGCTGCTGGCTCTTTCCTTGGTCTACAAAGATACCTGGGCCTCCCCCATTCTTCCAACCATCCCTTCTTGCTGTCATTGCATGTCTCCACCACACTCCTTGAAACGGTCATGGGCTTTTGCTTCCTCTGCTTGCAGACCCCTGCTCACTTCTCAGCCCCATAAATTAGGTTTCCTGGCCTCTCACCATACTCTGCCAGGTTTCTTGGAATCTCCCTACTATGCCTTCCAAACTGGAAGTCCCAGGGATGGCTCAAACTGGTGTCCAGAGTAAAACTTGCTTCCTCTCCCTTTTAGGCCTCTTCCCTCTCAGACTTGCCTTTTTCTGTTGAAGACCCCCACCTTCTGCTTATCTGCCCTTTCCATAACCGTGACTGTCCTGGATCGTGCACTCCCTGTCATTGGCACAGGATTCCATCACCAGATCCCGGCACTTCTCCCTCCATCGCATCTTCCATTCCTGAACTCTTCTTAGACTCGTCACCTCCTCATTGGTCTCCCTGCCTCAGGCCTCGCCCTCCTCCCCCCAGCCTCCTCATAGTTGCCAAGGAGATGTTCCTAAGTACACTCTCTCGCTTCATAAATTCCTGTGGCTCTCTGTTGCCTCTAGGTTAAAAGGTAAACTCAACTGGTTGGCTTTAAAGTCCTTCACAAATGGGCCCTAGCCTCTCTTTCTGACTTTATGTTCCACGCTGATTGGCCCCCTGTTCCTCACCCACAGCACCCACAGATCTCTCGTTTCCACCTTTGCCCCAGCCATCGCCCACACCCAGCATGCCCTCCCTCCTCAACCAGCCTCCTCCACTTGCCTTTGGACCCGATGCCTTTTCAGATCTCCCTCACCTTCCAGTTAATAACCTCGGATTTGGGCTGTCTTTATTCTGTGTGTAATCAATTACATATGTGCATCTCACCTTCTCCAGGAAAGTGGAAACTTCTTGAAGGGAGGAATGTTTGGGGTTTTTGTGTCTCTGTATGGCCATCACCTCACGTGGCATAGGTATTTAATGAATGCGTGTTGATCGAGTAGTAGAGATACAGACCCAGAAATGAAACAACTCCCACGCATAGGAGCTTATACCGTACTGGGGATTATAATACATACACAGATAACAATAATAATAATAAGTAATATCTGAGGTTTACAGAGAGCTTTACAAATACCTCAACAAACCTGTGAGGTCGGTGCTATTATTATCCCCATTGTATAGATGAGGAAACTGAGGCAAATAGAGGTTATGTCACTTGCCCAGGTTCACACAGCTGGTAAGTTTCACTCAGGTCTTCCTGTCTCTAAGCTAGCACTGAATCCATTAAAATTCTTAGCTGTATTGTAACTAAAATAGAAGGTATTTTGAAGAGAGAGAAAGCACAAAGCACTGAGATTTGAGGGCAGGCTTCATGGAGGTGGCATCTGAGCTGAGCCTTGGAGGCAGGACGAGGAAGAGAGAGGGCACTCCAGTACTGGGCCAGCTCATACAAACGCACAGAGGTGGAGACAAAACATCGGGTCATCCAGTTTGACTGCAGTATTAGGTGTGTGAAGAGGAGTCAAGTGAATCAGGCTGGGGTGATAGCATGGAGCCCAGTTACAGAGAGGCCTGGGCCCTCTCCGCACTGTCTCTGCAGGGACAGACCCTCTCCGTGCTGCTAAACATTCCCAGAAACCATTTTTGGCAACTTTCGCCATCTTCACTCCCAACAAGCTGGCGTTCCAACTGGGAGACGAGCACATGTATGTCTACACAGCATGAATCTACAGTAAATTAAAAACAGTTCGGTGCAGGAGGGGAGGGGGCTTCATGTATAAGATGGGCTGCCTTGTAAAGGAAGAGAGGGTCTGTGTGAGGCAGAGCTGGGGAGAGAGGGCATGGAAACAGGAGGCAGAATGTGGCACTTACAGCCGAGAGAAGGCCTGGGGGCTAGATTGCAGAGTCCAAGGAGGCTGGTGGCTTTCAAGCTAAACAGAGGGATTTGTATTCTGTCTTCGAGAAAACGGGAAGCTACTGGAGCAGGTGGAGGAGAGGAGTCAGGTCTTCAGATCTGTGGGGTGTGAGGGACAGATAAGAGAAGGGAGAGCCTGGGAGACCAGTTAAGAGGCTGCCAGCAGTGATGGAGGGGAGGTGACTGAGTGTGAGTGGAGGGAAGGGGCTGGATGCAAGAGCTACTCGTGAATGTAGAAAGGGTAAGAAGCCAGAGTGAGGAGGCGAGGAGATCAGACTGACGTTAGGAACCAAGTGGACTGGAAGGGTGAGAAAAATGGGTTAGGGGAAAAGATAATGGCCACGTGGGTGCAGCTTCATTTGTGTGTGCGTCTCCGACCTTCTTCACACATAGATCTCGTAAGAAAAGCACTCGAGGTCAAGTTCTCTCCTTTACTTTAGGTTTGTCTTGTTTGGGCTTTTTTCCTACAGAGAAACGTGCTCCAGCTTCTGCATTCCACGAATGACGTGGTCCGACAGTACATGGCCCGGCTCATCAATGCCTTTGCATCCCTCTCCGAAGGTGAGGGTTGGGATCTGGCTCACCTCACATGGCCCGCTCATGGCCATGGATTGGAAATTCTGGGAGGTTCCGAGATTCTTCCCTTTGTTGGTGCCTCCTAACAGGGCTGCAAGCCCCTCACTGGGGTTGTTGTTAGCCAAGTCCAGCGACTGTCTGGGCTTTGCCTTGCCTGGTGACTTTCTGCAGGATGCCCAAAGAGCGCAACCAAGTGGAAGAAGCCATCAAAGCTGATTTCCACAGTCACCTTCTCCACCTTTTCCTGCAGGAGGGTGTAGCTATCGAAATCAAAGTGAATCCACGAATCCCAAAAACAAGCCCTTGCTGGTCCCAGGCACAGAGGGAGCCCTCTCTTAGAATAAGGTGTCATGGTTTTCTACAGATTAAGTTTTGGTTTGAGCACATCTGGGTGTGCATGCAGAAGTCTCCAGCTTCCAAAGAGGTGCCTTCTCAAATGTTGTGAGTCAGTTATTTAATAAAAGCAATACATTGGCCTAGTTCAAGTTGACAGAGTCCTGGCCTCATCATAGCACCCCCCCCCTTCCCTGCAGAGTAGATTGTGCAAGTCTTTCTAACCTCATTTTACAAATGTGGAAACTGAGGCTCAGAAAGCTTGTGTGACTTCCCCAAAGTCACACAAGTCAGTATCATCTCCAGGATTTAAATCCAGCTCTCTTGACATTCTGCTCTACCATGTACACTTAGTGTGGGCTAGCCTGGGAACTCAGTGCTAATGGACAACCCTAGTTCCGCCCTGTGTGTCCCCCTCCCCCTCCACGACTCATGACAGTACCCAGGAGGCTCTGAGATGGCACTTGGGGAAGGCACAGCTGGTATTTCTACTCATGGTCCATTGATGAATTGTAGCCCACCTTTGACCTGCTTTTGAACTGGACTGTGGAGTCAGAGCCATAGGCTGCTTCTTTTGTTTGGTGATCTCCATCTTCTAGACCAGTCCCAGAGTCTGGCCTCTCCAATTACAGGGTCGATGCTGCTGTTGTTGTGGCATTCCCTCCCTGGGCATTCCCAGGAGAAAGGTGTGGCTGGGGCCTCCATACTGGTGACCACCTCTCAGGATCACCCCCTTTACATATACCTCAGTCTTGACTTCTTCCACCCAAAAAGGCTTTTAAGAAAACCTCATTCAGAACGGATGAGCATGTATGTTTTGTGGCTGATGTCACCAACTGTAACCTTTCTTGTCTTCACCTCATGCCCACAGTTTGCCCAAATATTGCTTTGTAGAGAGAAATCCTTGAATATTATTTTTAAAATGCATTCTCCTCTCTCTTTCCCCCAAACCAGGCCTGTGCTAACTCAGTGCAGAGAGTTTCCATGGAGGGATGGTCTGGGGAGTGCCTCTGACATAATCAAAATTGACCCTCTTCCCCACCCCACCCCCCACTGTCCTAGGTCGCCTCTACCTCTCCCAGAACTCCAAGCTACTGAGGATGCTGGAGGAGAGACTGAAAGAGGAAGACAAGGACCCGCTCACCCGGGAGAATGTGCTGGGGGCCTTGCAGAAATTCAGCCTCAGGTGAGGTCTCTGCAGCAGGTGGGGTGGGAGGGAGCTGCAGCTGCAGCCAGTGGTCCTTAGGTTCTGCTGCTGCTGCTGCTGCTTGAGGGAGGGAAGGAGGAAGGAGGGAGGTGGGAGGCAAGCCCCTAAGTATGTGGCTCCCATCAGAAATAGTCAAAGGTTCTCTAAAAGTCTCACTGACATCTTTGCTTTAAAGACCTCCTTCACTTCCCAAAGAACTCCCCTTCCCTTGCAATAGAGGCCTCCCTTGCAGTAAGAAAAATGGCAGAGCCGTTGGCTGGGTCTGCAGCATTCTGCCCCCACAGTTCCTCACTTTCCTGCTGGGAGGAGGGAAGTCTGTTGGATTGTCCACCTTCTGGGACCCCGGAGATGAGCTGCCCTTTACACCCTTGTTGTCAGTGTGTTGACTGTCCCTGCCTGGCTCTTTCAGGGACCCTTTATGCAAGGGAGGAGACTAAGGCCCAGGGCTCGGAGCTGGGGGCAAAGTCTCCATCTGCCTCCTCCACCCCCAATCTGGCATCGTTGCCACTGCTTCTGTTTTTCTCACAGGGTGCTTTCCTTCTTCCCAAGCCTCACCTCCTCCATGAAGTCCTCCTTAATGAGGACCCCACCTCACTGAGTGCCACCTTCTCTGCCACTGTCGGCCCTGACAGTTTGTGCCACACTTGTCTCTTTGTGAAAGGGGACAGATGGAAGGTTTCAAGCAAATAGTTTATTTTATTCTGGACTTCAGACCACAGAATTTCATAGTTAGGAGAAATCTAAGATCTCCAGTCCAATTGTACCCTAAAAAGAATCCCTACCACCATACATCCCCTGGGATGGGGAACCTGTAGCCTCAAGGCCACATGTGGCCCTCTAGGTCCTCAAGTGCTGCCCTTTGACTGAATCCAGACTTCACAGAACAAATCCTGCCCTCCATGGTCATACAGCTTTTGCTCTCAGACCTGAAGGTCTCAGGGGGCTTACTACCTGTAGAGTAGCCCATTCTACCTCAAGGACCCTGAAGTAAAGCACTAAGAAAACCCAATGAAGCTGACTCGATGTGATGCTGTGAGAAGCATTTTTCCTTCATGGTAATGAGGAAAGCTCTGTTTTTATTGGTCTTCTCACTGTTCTTCTGTGTCAGGGAGGCATTGGTGTATTGTAGAGGAATTATAGCAACTCCTTCTGGAGATCTCTGCTTGGCTTCTGACGGCTGCTCGTTGAAGTGTGCTCTTTAGGGGCCATAACTTTCGCACATTTCCTTGGGAGAAGATCCACACTCAGAAGGTTGTTGGATGAATGAGCCCCACAAACCTGCAGACTGGGGGATTGCTGCTCTCCAGAGTGGTTGAATGGAGGGGTAGGTGGCACAGTGTAGCGGGGAGGACGCTGGATGTGGAGTCCAGAGGCCTGGCTTGGCATCCGGCCTCAGATACTGACCAGCTGGGTGACCTCTCTGGGCCTCCGTTTCCTTGTCCGTAAAGTCAGTGAGCGGTATTAGTTGGCCTCCAAGGTCCCTTCCCACTCTAAATCCATGACTCTGCTGCTCTTGGTGTAATTCTGCACCACTTTTCACAGGCAGAATACAAGAGTAAATAGCTCTCCCCACAGTTGTTCTTTCTTCAAGGTGCAGTCATACTTCATCTCTGTAAACAAAAGATGGATTACTGAGCAGAACTGTGACTGTGTACAGAAAAGGCCAGTTTTCTGAAAGTGTGGAGACACGTCAGTGGTGAAAAAACATCTCTTCCTGGTTATGCAGATGCACAATGAGTGATTACTCCCTTTCCAAGAAATATTAGCTTAAGCTTCAGTATCCTGGAGATTTTAGTGTGCTCAGTGGGCATCTTCCTGCTCAGATTTCACTGCGTGGGAAGGGAGATGACGCTGACCAGGACAAAGTGACCCGTCATCTCCTCTGCCCTTGGTTGGTTGAGACTTTTTTCCACCAAGAAGCCCCAGTGGCCGTGGCACTCTGAGGACATCTCCCCGAGACGCCCCAGGAAGAGCATAGTCAGGACTTGGCCATCAGACTTTCCACAGTGTCAGCTGCCACTCCCCACCGCCACTAAGTGTTCAAGTCCAGAAGCATTCACCAAGCACTGTCTAGGTGCCAGGCACTGTGCTAAGTGGGTGGGATGCAAGGAACGGATGTTCTTTACCCGTGGCTTCAGGGAGCTCACAGCCTGCCCACACCAGATAAGCACGGGGGGGGGGAGGGCAGAGGAAAGGCACTAGCATTGAAGGGGACTAGCAGAAGTGAGATTTTAGTGGCGTCAGGAAGGGGGCCAGAGGCAGAGGTGAGGAGGGAGAAGGTGCCAGGCCCAGGGGGCAGCCAGGGAGGTGGCATGTCGGGCTGAAGCCACAGGTCTGTGGGGGCAGGGGGCAGGCAGCTTATAAAGTGGGACACCAGATGGTGGAAAGAAAGCCTTCCCCCAGTGAATTCTAACAAAGGGTCCCTGCCTGGGAGCCAGCCCGAGTGGTAATGGCTGCTTCAAGTGGATTGGGGCACCTTTTTAATCACCTTTCACCTGCTCGAACCACTCGGGTTGTATAGGGGAAACCATTCCTTCCTACAGATTGGCCAAGGCTGTGAGGGCACCACGGCTGCTCATTCTTGGTGCTTTCTTTGGGTCTGGGAGACTGTAGCGAGGCCCCTCAAGTCCTAGGCCTTAGGGAAGGGACGTCACAGTTAAGCTCCTTTTACAGAGAAGGAAACTGAGACCTAGCGAGGTGTAAGGGCTGGCCACAGCAGAGATGTCTTTGAACCCGTGTCTTGCACCCAGAGCTCTGGCCACTGTCCACCTGGCCTCCCTCCAGCGTTGGCTAGGTGAGCAAACCAGAGCGTGGAGAGGCTGGCAAAGGAAGTCAGGACGTTTTCAAGCCTGGCCTTCGAGAGTGGAGCCAAATTGGCCAGTAAGGAAGGGAGTGTGTGTGGAAACCCACTCTAGATTTCAGCTGCCTAAAACCGAGTCGCCATCTCCCCTGTGAAGGCACCGTGGGTCTGACCACTCTACTGAGCTCTGCCCTTTCTGGTGGTCCATTCAGAGAAGCAAGAGAGAGGGGCGTGAGTACGTGGGCCCCAGTGCCTTTGTTGAGCGTAGGCAGCTCTGCCGCTCATCCTGGGCCCCGATCTCTGCTCTGGCTCCTGACTGCATTCTCTTGCCCATGCTTGTCCGGGTGAGTGATCCCAGGGCTTTCCCTTGCAGGCGTGCACTGCAGTCCGCCATGATCCAGGATGGCCTCATCTTCTGGCTCATCGAAGTGCTCAAAGATCCCGACTGCCTGTCCGACTACACTCTCGAGTACTCCGTCGCCTTGCTCATGAACCTCTGCCTCCGCAGCGCAGGTCTCTGCCTCCTGGGGGGGATGGGGGGGACAGGCCGGCATGGCCACGGGCCCGATGTTGCTCGCTGTGTCATCAGCTCGGGAGATTCAGGAACAGCGAAGGGAGCCATTCCAGGGGACGTTTGTTCTGTTGGTCGTGGGTTGGGCCGGCTGTCGTAGCAGAAGCCTCATGTTCCTCTGCCTACCTGGACTCTACAGTTCTCACTCCTCATCACCCCAAGTGCCCTCAGGTCCCTCCTGCGCCGGGGAGTGTCCAGAATAGGCTTTGGACCCTGGTCTTCCTGACTGCACAGCAAGGCCTCTGTCCTCCCGTCCTTGTCTTTGTGGGACGGGGTGAATCTGCTTGGCCAGGAGGCCTCTGGAGATTAGCCTGAGGTGGGCAAGTGGCTCAGGATGGCACCCGCGTTCTGAGAAAGCCAGAGGAGCGGACCAGAGCCTCCCACCCAGGCTGGGCTGTTAGCACCCTCTGGGCAGCTCCAGGCCTAACTCTCGTCCTCCTGGGAGGAGGAGAGCAAACCTCGGAGCCCTGTCTGTACGGGATGGGAGGGTCCGTGAAGACTGACCTAATAAGCAGCTTACTCATGTTCCCATCCCCAGTTCTGAGACCAGTTGGCCTGAGCAATGATGAGCTAATACTAGCCTCTTCTCAGGTAATAGGAATTCAGTTAATTGGCGTTTCAACTTGGTATTAACCAGGCAACTTTCCAGGAGAGGCGTCTGGGTGGTGCAGGGGATAAAGTACTGGGCCTGCAGTCAGGGAGACCTGAGTTCAAATCCTGTGTCAGACGCTAGCTTCAGTGTGCCACTGGGCAAGTCATTTAATCTGTCTGCCTGAGTTTCCTCAACTGCAGAATGGGGGTAATAGCAGCCCCTCTCTCCCAGGGCGGTTGTGGTGATCAAATGAAATATTGGCAAAGCTCCATTTAAAGGCTGACTCCCTTCCCCTTCCCTTCCAACTGGCCTTTGGTGCCTGTTGCCATGGAGATCAGGGCCGTAATGGTCCTTGTGTGGGGCGGGCATGTCTGGGAGGCACAGCTGAGGAGTCACAGTGGAGTCTGTGTGGGACTTAGAGTATGTAAGACCAGAGTTCGATTCCTGCCCCTGACATCTAATAGCTCGAGACCTTGGGCAAGTCACATAGCCACCTTCACCCCGGGTGGGGCTCACAACATGTTCCTCTCAGGGAGGGCGGGCAGCAGTGGAGGCTTCGGCCTGCAGCGGCGGTGAGGTCACATTCCAGGCCGGGTCCCATCTGTTCTCTTTTCCTGCAGGTAAGAACATGTGTGCTAAGGTGGCTGGCCTCGTGCTCAAAGTCCTGTCGGATCTGCTTGGCCACGAGAACCACGAGGTAAGGCTTTGCTGCTGCCAGTTCTAGGCCGGCCGCCTCCACTTCTGTATGACTGAACAGGTGGCTGGTTGTCACGTTGACTTTAGAATGACCGTTTTTCTTTCTGGCAGCTTGTAATATTTTCTCCTTGACCTGGGAACTCTGGAGTTTGGCTACAATATTCCTAGGAGTTTTCCTTTGGGGATCTCATTCAGGAGGAGATCAGTGGATTCTTTCAATTTCTATTTTACCTTCTGGTTCTAAAATATCGGGGCAGTTTTCCTTGATAATTTCTTGAAAGATGATGTCTAGGCTCTTTTTTTGATCATGGCTTTCAGATAGTCCAATAGTTTTTAAATTGTCTCTCCTGGGCCCAATTTCCAGGTCTGTTGTTTTCTTTTCCAATTTCACTTGTTTTTAATGTTTTCTTCTTTTGGATTTGTTTTACAATGTCTTGATTTCTCATAAAGTCACTAGCTTCTAATTGCTCTATTCCAATTTTTAAGGAAGTATTTTCTTCAATAAGCTTTTGGACCTTTTTCCATTTGGCCAATTCTGCTTTTTAGGGCATTCTTCTCATTGACTTTTTGGATCTCTTTTGCCATTTGGGTTAGGCTATTCTTTAAGGTGTTATTTTCTTCAGTATTTTTTTGGGGTCTCCTTTAGCAAGCTATTGACTTGTTTTTCATGCTTTTCTTGCATCACTCTCATTTCTCTTCCCAGTTTTTCCTCTACTTCTCTTACTTGCTTCTCAAAATCCCTTTTGAGCTCTTCCAAGGCCTGGGGCCAATTCATGTCTTTCTTGGAGGCTTTGGATGTAGGAGCTTTGACTTTGTTTTCTTCTGGTTGTATATTTTGATCTTCTTTGTTACCAAAAAGAGATTCTATGGTCTGACCCTTCCTGTGAGGTTTGCTCATGATCCCGGCCAATTACTTGAGTTACAAACTCTTTGTTAAGGTAAGAGTCTGCTTCCAATGTGGAGAATGTACTGTCCCAAGCTTTGGGGGTTTGTACAGCTGTTTTTAGAGATACTTCTAGGGACCTGTAAATTTTCAGTTCTTGCAAGGTGGTATGGTAAGGAACGAGGTGTTTACTCCTTTCCTGGCTTATGCTCTAGTCTATTAGTGACCACAAGCACTCCTTTCTGTCCTGGAACTGTGAGGAGGGTTTTCTCTTCACAGCCGCTACAAGCTGTACCACGCCAGTGCTCTTCCTTGCCCCAGGACTGCCGCCCAGAACTGTGACCCAGATCCAAGCACGGGCAAAGCAAGAGATTCCTGCCTCAGCACTGGCAAAGAGATCCCTGCAGTCCACCTCTGATCAGCCACTAGACTCCCCCTCAGTCTGTGGGCCAGAAGCTCAGGATGCAACCGCTGTCCCCGCCCCGGGCCAAGCAGGAACTGGGGCTGAGACCTAGCTTCTCTCTCACCACAGAAACAGACTTTTCCCACTGACCTTCTAAATGGTCTTAGGTGTTTGTGGGTTGAGAAGTCTGGAAACCGCCACAGCGGCCTGTGATTCAGTCCTCTGAGGCCTGCTCCAGGTTCACTGCGGCCTACGCACTCATGCCAAACTGCGCTTCTCTTCCCGCCCAGTGCGATATACCTTTCTGATCAACCATCCAGGTTGTCTTGGGCTGGAAGTTTGTTTCACTCTGTCTTTTTGTGGGTTCTGCTGCTTCAGAATTTGTTCAGAGCCATTTTTTATAGGGATTTGGAGGGGTTTGGGGAGAGCTCAAGCAAGCTGCTGCTTTTACTCTGCCATCTTGGCTGCGACCTCACGCTGACTTTAGAATCATCGGTTCCGTTTCTTAGACGCACAGCGGATGGCACTTCAGAAAACTAGCTGTTGGCTATCCCTGCTGCCGCGTGTTTGCGGCACGTGATAACACTCCTCTCCACCACTCGCTGCATTCTTGTCCCTCCTGCAGCGCACCTGTTTGTGTCTGCATTTACTGTGGCTCACTTGGCACCATAGTGCTTAGCCCCCCTCCTCCCGACAGCCCTTTCACCAGTCCCTCCGTGCCAAAGGCCACACTGCCTCCTGAGGCAAGCCAGGGCTTTTAGGGCAGGGCACGTTGTCACAGAAGAAAAAGGGTCGGAGGCTAGAAAGGGGTCGCTGTTGGTGTGAGAAGATGACTGGAGTGAGGACTCATTGCCTTTGGCCTCTTCCACTTCAGTATAGTGTAGACCAAATCTGCCTCTGTGCAGCCTGGTGTGCATCAAATTCTCAGATGCTAGAGAAGCGTCCCTACGTCTCCCAAAGTTTCCCTCCCTGATAGCTTTGCCTTATCAAATTGGCATCTCCCAGCTCACATCATAACCATGTGGACAATCCTTGGGTCCCACAAAAGATGCCATTGGGAGCCAGCCAGAAATGAATTTCTAGCCTTGAAAAGGATACTCGTCACGAGTCATCTGAAAATTAAGTCCTCCCTTGATCACAATTACAAAAAGAGACAGTGATGCATATGCACAGACCCCAGCCGTGATGATGGCTCAGCTGCCAGCTAGGGCAGAGGAGGAGCCCCAGATTGGGAGCCCAGGGTGACTCAGTTTGGGCTGAAGAAGAGGAGAGGGGCTCTAGGCACACAGGCAGCAGGGAAGCCTGGTGCACTGAGGCAAGCCTGAGCTGCCTCGGAGGCTGTTTGGGGAGCATCGGTTGTCTGTTACACACACTGCCTTGTTCATTCCATTTGAATCCTGTACTTCCTAACGACCACCACCTATGTGGCACTAACTCCATCACGGAACATGTCGTCTGGGTCTCATGCCTTGGCCCTTTGAGCTCCAGCCCAGGCAGCCCTGAGAGAATGGGGAAAGACGAGAAACTCAGTGGCTGCTGAGTGGGACACGGAGTGGTCGTCGGGGGCCCCTTGGTGCGTACCCTGTGTGGGACTTCAGGAAGCTTGCTGCCCAGCCCGATGCAGGAGGCGCCAGGGTGACGTGGGACACATACGGACACGCTGAGAAAGCCCTGCCCCAAAGGGCTCGCACGTGGATCCCCTGCTCTTTGTCCTCGTCAGCCACAAAAGAAAGGACAATTTAGCGACACCAGCACTGGAGCGGTCAATCAAAAGCATTGATTAACCATTCACTGTGTGCCCGGCTCCATCCTGAGCGCTGGTGATAGGCAAAATACAGAGTCAGTTCTCAGGGACCTCCCATTCTAATGGAGAAGGTAACGTGTCAGACCCAAGAGGTCTGGACCAGCTGCCTCCAAAAAGATGAAATGTAATATGCGCTTGGCTCAGTGTGTAATACGTCGTGAAGTAGAAGGTGAGGCAGCAGCAGGTCCTCTGAAAGGGACCTGGAGGCTTCAGGGCCTGCCAGTTCAGGGGGACCTTGGGTGGCATTAAGAGAGGAGGGACGTGGGGCTCATCCCACTGTGCGTGTTTGGCTATGAGTCCTGGGACCCTCCAGTCTGAAGAATGACAGATGAGACACAGGCGACTGACTGGCTGCAACCCCAGCATCAACCCTCCGGCCAAAGGGATGTGGCCATCATGACTGGGAGCCAGGGGTGATCTCTGGCTCTGGTGATGAACCAGGAAGGCCCCCAGCACTGGGAGGGAATGAGAGGGACCTGGGCAGGGCAGGCGCAGCCATGGTGCAGTCTGTATTGCTGCCATCAGATCCCAGATCCGTTAGCTCCCAATGCGTCTGGCCTGGCACACGCAATTTTAGGAAGGGCGTTGATAAGAGAAGGCCAGCCGTGGTACTTCCTGTGGGCGGGGCTATGAGGTCATGCACTGGAAGGCCTGGTTCTAGGTAGCTTGAAGGAGAGAAGACTTATGGAGGATGTCAGGTGCAGGGGAGCTCGGCCCCCAGGGCAGAACCAGGAGCCGGGGGGGCAGAGGAAAAACCAGCTAAGGTGTCGAGGTGGTTCCCATCACCAGAGGTGGACGCCTCTTGTCAGAGGCAGCATAAAGGAGGTTCCTTTTTAGGTTTGTCCCAGATGGTCACTGGGTCCCTTTGACTTGGAGACCCCGTGACGTCGCTGCATGTAGGACACTGCTGTTACCAGACCACTGACCCTCATCCCGCTCATGTTTGAATTGTGGTAACGAGGACATTCAAGAACAGTCAGTTCAATGTATTCTTGTCATTTTCCCTATAGATACAGCCGTATGTGAATGGCGCCTTGTACAGCATTCTTTCCATACCGTCCATTCGGGAGGAAGCAAGAGCCATGGTAAGAAACGTGGTAGAGAGATTGTACATGTCTGGCAGGGGTGGGATCCAGAGATCCTTGGAGGGCTACAAGTTGGTCCTTGTAAAGCCACAAATATGCTGGTAGCATCTGCCCAAGGGATAAAAGGGCAGCAGAAAAGATTACGGACTAAATTGACTATTTTAGGAGTTTTTGCCCAAACACTCCCATTGGAGGTTGAGTGGAGCCCCAAGTCACTGGAATAAGTGGCCTGGGCCTCTTCGGCATACCACAAGAACGTGGCTGAGCCTTGCAGGTCTGAGTCTCAGCTGCCCAGGGTGGGAGCAGAGCCCTACGTGGACATGGGGCTGGGCTGTCATCATTAGATGGCTCTTTTTACCTCAAGAAAACTTTTACTGGTGATTTATTGTAACACCCATAGGAGACTTCCATAAAACCCATTACAATTGCTTTACATTTGGAAACATGATTTTAGCCCTTAAAACAGCTGTGATGACTTGTCAGTCAGCCCTGATTTCTGTCAGCATTCTCGGTGTTTCCGTCCCCTTCTCCCTTTATAGGGTTGTAGCAAGCCTGGGCCTTGTGCTTTTACTTCTGGGTTGTTTTGAGTTTTGGCTTTACAATAAGCATTTCATAAAGACCCGAGTTGATATCTGGCCTCAGACACTCCCCATGTGGCTCTAAAGCCACGTGTGTCTGCCTCCGTTTCTCCATCTATGAAATCAGTATGATAGTAACATCACCTCCCTCCCAGGGTTGCTGTGGGATCAAATGAGATGATATTTGTAAAGCACGTGGCACGTGTCAGAACTGTAGGAATGCTAGCTGTTGTCTTATCCTTATGCTCCTCATGGTGATCCATCACAAACATAGCATGATGTGCCGTTACATTAGTGCGTCACGCGTGATTGGACCGATCCTCTATCGTTGGACGCTTAGGTTGTTTCCAGGCTTTTGTAATCGATGACTTCAGTACTAAGACTGACAGTGCAGTTCAAGATCAAGAGACAAAAGTGGTCAAAGACTGGAATCCTCTAGAAAAGTCTCATGCTGACGTAGAGTCAGTGCTTTCTTCCAGAAGGGTTAGGGGAGGCATTCAACATACAGGCACCCAGTGGCATTGCAAGAGATGAAATGTACTTAGCTTACCGATGGAAAATGACTGGGAATGGGAATAATTTCTGAATCTGTTGTCTAGCTATATCAGACCATCTGTGTGTTAGGACAGAAATCAAAATGAGCCCTAAGTTAGAAGAAAGAGTCAGAAGGAAAAGATACGATGCAGCAACTGAAAGCTCCAGGGTGACATTGCAGAAAAACGCCGTCAGCGTTGAACAATGGGAATTGGACAAAGGAAGACAAAGGAGGCTTGGCCTCCTTCCTGAGCAGAGAGAGGGAGGCCCCAGCAACAACTCGCTCACCAAAACCTGAGGGAGGAGAATACTGGGAGATTGTGAGCAATGTGGTCTCATGAAGCAGAAGAAATGGAAGGAAAGCAGAGTTTGGAGGCAGCCTGACGTGGTCCAGGATCCACCAGGTCATCCAGAGAGCATTTAAGGAGGGAGCCAAAGGGGAGCCCCAAACAGACAAGACTGCCCAAGCCTAGCCAGCGTTCTTCCCTCAGGGATGAGGAAGCTTCTGGATCTGGGCGGCATTTGTCACACGAAGAAGGAAAATTGCACAAAAAGAAACACGATGGAGTGAGCCGTTCAACCAGCCTGTGTGTATGCAGGGGACTTTTCTGGTTATGAGGTCATCGAGGGGCTGGTTCTCAAGATGTCCACAGGAGGGAGAGGATGGTAGTTGATTAGGGGAAAAATCACCTGTGACATTACTGTAATAGGATCGGGCTGAACCTAATAGACGGAACATAATGGGAATACATGCAGAGTCTTCACTTAGGCTCAAAAAATCAACTTCACACGCAGGGAGGGCTAGACGTAACTTGTCTGACAAAGATGTAGGCATTTGAGTGGCCTGCAAGCTCGGGTGAGTCAGCAGCCGCACACGGTGACCATCAGAGAAGCTAGGGTGGTATCAGGCTTTAGTAAGAGAACACAGCGTCCAGGACCAGGGCAGGGATCCTCCTGCCGCATTTTTCCCTGACAGATAGGGTACATTCGTAGTGCTGTGTTCAGGTTGGCACACCCTATTTTAGAAAAGACTGATCAGCTGGAGAACATCCAGAGGAAAGCAGCCAGGGAGGGAGAGGCTGCAAGCTCCTGCCATGTGAGGATGGCTAGAAGGAGCCTGGGGTAGAGACGCAGGAGGGCCATGATGGCTGGCTTCAAGGATCGGAGGGGCCTTCCAGTCAGAGAGGATGCTCTTGTGCTCTTTGGCCGCAGAGAGCAGAGTGTGGCAAATGTGGCTCCTACATGTCTGGGAAGAGCCTGAGGCCTTCCTGCTCTGGGCTTTGGGGTGGCTGCTGAGCCAGACCTGGGGGCCTGTGCAAAAGACTCCCATGGGGCAGTTTGGTCCCCTTCCCTTTCCCAGTGTCCAGGGGCAAGGAAGGCTGCTATGGACCAGAGCTTTCTGAGAGCCTGTGAGAGCCTGGTCCTGCTACTGCTACAAGAAGAGGGATCCAGACCTTTCCTCAAACCACCACCAGCCCATGCGTCACTCAGCAGCCAGCCCTGAATAGAGTTCTTGCTGCATTCAGCGGAGACTGTCCTGGTTGTGGACCCATCGTCTTGGCTGTGGGCTTGGTCTGGCTGATGTGGATACAGCATATGGTGCCCGAAGGGTTAAAAAAGAATATCAAGGTTGCTTTTCCCGTACTTTGTGGGGCCCCTCCTGAGGGGGGTTGGGACTTATTCTTTAGCTCATCCTGTAACTTGAGGGTGGCCTAAAGTCCTTTTCCCCTTATCTTGAAATACCTTAAAACTACTCCTCATCTTGTAAGACCTAAAGAATTGCTTTTTCTCCTTACCCGGTGTCTCCCTGTCCACCAGCCTGTGACATAACATTCCTCTTTATCTGGTAAGCAACCTTCTTCCTCATCCTGTGTGTCCTCATCCTGTCCTTAGTCTTTAACCCCCCTAAAACCCCCTAAAGTTATGTCACCATTCCAACACCTCTGTGTGGGCCTGGTTCTCCCAAATATCAGGACCTCAGTCAGCTTTCTTTCTGAAAAGGTCCATGTCCTTTCAAGTAATCAGGCTCCCAGTGGCTACAGAGACCTCCTAAGTGCATTCTTTCACACTCGGACCATTCTCCCGAATCTGACCTCCACACAGCTGCTGCTGGGCTGCTGCCCTGGCCCCGTCTCCAGCTCTCTGACTCTCAGAAGCCGCAGAGGGGCGCATGCCGCTCATGTGGGATGGCTCTGGGGGTCTCAGCCTCTGGCCTAAGATTCCACTCTAGCCTGGAGGCCCCCAGCAGCTTGTCCTCACTGGATGTGCAGGAAGAAAAGGCCAGTCATTCTGCATGCTTTGACGGAGGCCAGCCCCTTCATCCCACACCCTCAAGCCCTTCCCAGAAAGAGCAGGCGTGTTCCCAGGACTCGTGGCCGAGACCCCATTACCCTGCCAGCCTTCAGAGCTGTCTCTGGGGGAAGTGGCTGCCTTGAGAGGCCACTTTGGTGCAGATGCAGCTTCATCTGGAGGGCCCAGGAGGAGCCCGGTGTGGACTGTCTGGCCTGAGACGATGTTTACTAGAATACTTTGCACACACACGGAGGGCGTCCTTGATGCAAACTGAGGCAGGGAGCAGCAGGCCGTGATGTTGCACAGAGCACGCTCTGGAGTCAGGCCGTCGGCATGTCCGAGGCGCCCCCAGAGTGCCCCCCCCAGGTCTGCTTGGCGGATGTCAGGTTCATAAAATGGGAGTCAGCTGCACCCCCCTCTGCCAGCCGCTGAGCTCCAGATGAAGATGCTGTCCCTCCTTTGGAGACACAAGTCAGCAGTCTGGGCTTGGTTTCCTTCTGCATCCAAAGGCAGCAAATGACGTCATTTCCCAGAAGCTAACCTCGCAGCGCCTGCAGGACGATCTGAAGCCGATTCACCGCTGATGCGCCAATAAGAATGTGGCCCCTGGGGGTGGGGTCTGCACCCCTAAAGCCAGAGCCACCGCCCCTTCATTCGGCAGGACAGAGCTGAGGCATTGAAGCAAACGACGAGGTAAGAAAAGTGGCCACCCATAAACGTGCACGGCGACAGGGGGAGCGATGGAGACAGGGAATGTGGGGAGAAGTACCCCCTCGGGAGCAGGCGGAGCCGAGGCACCCACCTCCCTCCTGGGGGGTCCTCACGCTGCTCCCTACTGCTCTCCTAGAGTCCAGAGCCTGCTAGATCCCAGGGAGGACAGCAGCCCTGCTTGGCCTGTGGCCTCCTCTAGAACCTCTGTCTCTGCCCGGCCCTGCTTCACCTTGGGGGGGAGTCAGGCACTCTTCTCCTAAAGCCTCTGGGTGCTGGTGTTGGCCGGCTCATTCAGACGAGGAAGGAAAGCTCCCCACTTCCTGGCCCTCTCAGAGCCTCGAAGATTCCTGAGGCCTTTTTTTTTTTCAGGGCTTGATTTATATATTTTTTAAACTTAAAATTTTTTAAAATTACTTATTTAGTATTTAATTTTTCCCCAACTACATGTAAAACCAATTTTTAACATTTGTTTTTTAAAAATTTGAGTTCCAAATTCTCCCCCTCCTTAGCCACCCCACTCATTTTTTAAAAGTTTTATTCTTTTGATTATTTTTAGTTTTCATCATTCACTTCCACAAGATTTTGAGTTCCAAATTTTCTCCCCATCTCATCCCTCCCCCCACCCCAAGATGACATGTATTCTGCATACCCCTTCCCCTGATCTGCCCTCCCTTCTATCTCTCCTCCCCTTCTCTTATCCCCTACCCCTTCTATTTTCCTGTAGGGCAGGATAGATTTCTTGGGGCTGAGCTCAGGGACTGGGCTGGAACCGGGCCTCTCTCTCTCACTGCAGACACAGACTTTTCCCACTGACCTTCTAAGTTGTCCTTGGCCCCCAGGTCTCTGAACTTGTTTTTGTTTTTTTAATTTGATGACTGTAATTCAGTATAATTGGTCCTCCTGTAATCCTAGACCCCTTATTTTATACATTTAAAACCATGATTCTGAGAAGGCTCCATGCTCTTCACCGGCCTGCCTGCCCAAAGGGGCCAGGCCACCCTACAGGTGAAGCCTGCAGCTTGTGGCTGGCTTCCTATTCTGACACCAGGTCACGGTTATATTCACAAATAGTTCTGGCACTTCTGGGTCTCCGCATAGATGAAGAAACAACAAAAATGAGAAGGTCGTAGTCTCTGCCCAGGGTCTCCTTCCCAGCCCCTTCTTATGCAGATGCATCTCTTCCAGGTCTGAAAGGGCCTTTGCCTCTCCTCCTCATGTGGGGAATCAGGGTGATGACTAATCACTTTACATATTTACGTGCATTCCCTCACTTATTCATTCATATTCAGCATTAAAGGTTTACCAGCCAATCTGGAAATGGAAAATTTAAGCTAAAACAAGGAACCAACCCAGCTGTGTGCCCCTGTCCAAAATGTTTTGGAGTCTTAGCCCCATATCTGTATCTCCATTTATTTGTAAACTATATTTGTAATTCTATGTTAACATACCACATGCATTATAAAACATGCAAAAACACACATTAAAAAAACGAGATAAATATTTTTGTTTATAATGAATGAAAAAAATGTTTAGTTCTATCTGACTCTTTGTGACCCCATTTGAGGTTTTCTTGGCAAAGATATGCTGGATTGGTTTGCCATTTCCTTCTCCAGCTCATTTTGCAGAAAAGGAAACTGAGGCCAACAGGGTTAAGTGACTTGCCCAGGGTCACACAGCTAGGAAGTGTCTGAGGCCAGATTTGAGCGCAGGAAGATGACTCCAGGCCCAGCGCTCTATCCGCTCCAACACCTACTTGCCACATGAGAGAAATAAGAAATAAAGAATGTTTGGGAGATCGATTTTATTAATGGTTCCCTAAGCCCTTTTTGCTCTCACTAAAAATAGTATTAACAACAGTTATCATATAAGATAGAAAAGTCATTAATAATATTTTTAGTAAGAATTCTGGGATTAAAAATGCTTTTTTATTTTTGCAAATCTTCTACAGCAACAATTCAAAAGTCTAGTTAATGAGGTCATCCTCTTCCCCTTCTTGGTTATGAGGGCTGTCATAATGGAAAGATACTCTACGAGAAGAGCTGGACGCCAAGGGCCAAAGTACCTGGCTGGCTGCCTTGACTGAATCACGAAGCTCTGTTTTGATCCCGTCCACCAGTCAGTTAGCTGTTTTTGCAAACAAATCAGAAAGTGGTAAATCTTCTTTGAATAGGTTTTTTTGGTTTGTTTATTTTAGAAAATGGGTCCAAACCCACTGGAAAGCATTACTTGGAAAATTTTAGAGCAGGTTAGAAAATTCTGTTTCCACATTCTTTAAAAACAAGAGTTTTTGTAAGTTGGCAAACATTTATTAAACGCCTGCTGTGTGCTGGGTGCTGTGCTATGTACTGAGCATACCAGAGGAAGGCAAAAGACACATTTACATCATCTGGGACAAGAGCTTAGTTTTAAAATGGCTTACTAATCATGGCTTTATACAGTTTGGTTCATTGTTATGCTCCAAAATCATGTTTCAAATAATCTTGATAATTTATGTCTTTTTCTCTGTTCTGTTGTCAAATATGATGAGGTCATCAATTGCAAAACTCAGGATGCTTGCAAATAATGCTCATGTCGTCCTTATCTCATCTTTACAGGAATCTCTGAAAGCTATTTGTTCATTTGCGAGAGTTAGTTGGGTTAGAAGTAGGTAGGGCAATCTGTAATTCCTCATAAGCAGCCCAAGTAAGCTACCGAGCCCCCAGAGCAGTCAGGGCACCCCCTGACAACCAGCCCCTCTCCCTCGGGCCACCCTACGTGACCAGCCAACATCGAAAGCCAGTAAGGGCCCCACTGGTCCGAGAGAAAGAAGCCTGGCTCTAAATCAGGGAACATCTAATGTCCCTTCAGGCTCTGGAACCTCAGTCCTGTGATGATTCTGTGACCTGGTAAGGGGATAGTACAATACTAAGAAAGTGGTCAGGAGATCATAGAACAAGGTGGTGGCAATGAGAACGGAGAGGATGGGATGGAGGTGAGAAATCTTTCAGAACTTCCAGGTGGGAGGGACCATGGAAGTCATGTAGTCCATCTGCCTTTTATGGATGAGGAAACTAAGGTCCAGAGGGGTGAGATGTAGCAGGGCTGATCAGGGTCCTTGTTTAAACCAAAAGCAGGGTTTTTTCATATGTGGGTTAATGAGAGGCCTTAACAACATGGTTGAAATGTTTGCTTGGTAGTTTTTCCCAGCCAAATAATTTCTTTGAGAGATGTAAATACCGTACTGAACAGGCAAGCTTCCTCCGTGAAGAGGAAGCCAGAACTCTTACCATCCTTTTCTCCAATGCGTCTAGGGAATGGAAGAAATCCTTCGATGTTTCATCAAGGAAGGCAATGCTGAAATGATACGCCAGATTGACTTTATTATCAAGCAACTTAATTCAGGTCAGAGGAAACTGTGGCTTGCCTCATTACGCTTTCCCTTGTGCTAGAAAGGTCCTCAGCCTTGTGTGTAGACTGGAAGACTTTCTTCAGAAAAGCTAGCTGGCTGGGTTATTGAAGGCTGCAAGCCAGAAGCTATCACGAGCTTGTCCGGTTTGAAGTTTTCCTAAGATTTTTTTCTTTTTTTTCTTTTTTGGCGAGGCAGTGGGGTTAAGTGACTTGCCCAGGGTCACACAGCTAGTGAGTGTTATGTGGCTGAGGCTGGATTTGAACTCAGGTCCTCCTGACTCCAGGGCTGGTGCTCTATCCACTGTGCCACCTAGCTGCCCCTTAAGATTTCTTTTTCTAGGGGCAGCTAGGTGGCACAGTAGTAGATAGAGCATCGGTCCTAAAGTCAGGAGGACCTGAGTTCAAATCTGGCCTCGGACACTTGACACTCATTAGCTGTGTGACCTTGGGCAAGTCACTTAACCCCAATTGCCTTCCCCCCCCCCAAAAATTTCTTTTTCTAATTCTTATGCCATTGCAAGGTTTCAGAGAGGAAAATATAGCGTTAAAGCTACCCTCTGGGAACCAGATGTTTGACCACTGGGGATGGATGTGTGGCATTGAAGGGTATGGCCTCAAGGCCCCGGGCATGGGGTGAGTCAGCACAGGTGGATCCCACTGCAGCCAGCCCAGAGACTGAAAGCTCTTGACACGTGATGGCTCTGGAGCAAATCCTGACGCGTTAGGCCTTGACTCCAGGACGATGATCTGGGGAGAGGCGAGTTTATTATTTGAAGTCCCTGCTTCTTTCCTTAAGACGGGAAGAGTCCGATGTCGACGTGGTGCCTCCTTGCAGGAGGAGGAGCGTCCGCAGAGTGGGTGTTGTGTACTCTCCTGGTTACAGAGACCCCAGCGCCCTTCCTTTGATGATCCTCTTGGCACTCGACTCCCCTTAGCACCGACGAGCACTTTCCCACCTGGGCTGGAATGCCACTGCCCCAGGGACCCTCCTGCCCTGCCGGCCCTGCATCCTGTTTCGCCTCCGCACTTCTTCATCCCCATTTTCACCTTTTCTCTCTTTGCTCCTCCTGCCCACCCATCTGCCCCGAGTCCCTCTTCCTCTTCCCTTCAGGTCTTTATTCCTTCCCTGCATCCATCTGTCGCCACCTCTTTTCTTCCTCGGCAAAGCCATAAATGAACCGCTCTGTTATGGCGAGTGGGGATGTTGTGGGTCTTTTCACATGTTGTTATGAAGAGAGGCTCTACTTGGTTCTGGCTGCATAAAGATGCAGCAGACGGCATCAAGGACAAGACTGGCAGCTTCTGAAGGATGCTTAGAGACGTGCTTGTGGGTGAGGGCAGTCACTACGCCCATCTCTTGTTGACTCTGTTTTTGCTTTTCAGAAGAGCTGCTGGACACGACTCTTGAGTCTGATGATGAAGAGGAGGAAGATGATGAAGTAAGTCAAAAGGGCTGTTGAGATAGTATAGAAAGTGCTGACAGAACTTTGGCTTTAGATATTGGGGCCTGGGATTTCTTTTCCTGATAAAGTTGACCCAAAAGTTGAGAACTGGGGTCCCAAAAGATCTCCCCAAGTGAAAACAGTAGGCCAGATTTAAAGAGGTGAAATTTCACAAGAGTATTTAATTTTGCCCCACGGTTAGATGTGAAAGAGATCTGAGGGTTTCAGTGGACCACAAGCTTGTCAATATGAGAACTTACTTAGAGTGATATGGCAGTCAACAACCCTGACTGGTTGTTTCTTAGACTGCATCAAGAGAGCCACAGCCCCAGAGTGGCACTGGCCCCATTCAGACCACATAAGAAGCAGGCGTTCGGGTCCGGGAGCCATGGATAAAATGGACTGCATCTAGGGGAGGGTGGCCAGTTAGCGAATCGACAAACATTTGTTAAAGGTAGAATTAACAGGATTTGACAACAGACTGGAAGTGGGAGGTGGGGGTGAGAGAGAGGGGTCGAGAATGGCCTTGAGGCGATGACTCTGGGGGAAAGATGGTGCCCTCCACAAGAACAGGAAAGGCATGGGTGGGCGGGGGGAGACAGTTAGTCCAGGGCTGGACATAGGAAGATTAAAACCATATCATGACATGAAAGCATCTGTTGAAGCCGGAGAAGTGGACCGACCCGTCCTCTTGAACTGGGAGGGAGTGGGGCGCTACCGTAGGGAAGAGGGTCCAGCGTGTTCCTTGTGGCTACAGTGTTATCAAACTGGATGAGGGGAGACGGCAGCCAGGCACATTTCAGCCCCACATCTGGAAGCGTTTCCAAACTGCGAGGGTCATCTGGGAATTGAATGTGCTTTGGGGTAAAGTAGTGAGTTTTCATCGCTGGCAGTGTCGGCCGTTTGTCTGGGAATTTCTAGAAAAGATTAATGCATCGGGTGGAGAGATTATTCCATGGTTTCTTCACAGAGTCTCAGAACTTAAGAATTGGAAGGGCCATCAGTGGGCCCTCTGGTCCGCCCCATGCTCCAAAGGTCCCCCTGCTGTGGTGTCCCTGCAGCCTGGCTGTTCAGCATCCTCTTTAGAGACTGTGATTCCTAGTATAGATTTCCTTCTGCCGTCCAGTTCATTCTCTGGCTTCCAAGGGACCAGATGCCAATCACCAGGTTACTTATATTTTCACAGTCTTTGTCCCTATATGCCTAGGGGGTCATTCCTACCTCCACTGTAGCAAACATGAAGCACCTATTGTATGCGGAGCACTAGGTGAGGTTCTGCTTACGAGGCAAAGACCAGACTTCATTCTTAGGACACCCCCTGAGAGTGTGAGCAGAGGGCTATAGGAGGTCCCAGGGAGGAAAAGCCTCCCCAATGGGTGGGTCTTAGGGATGTCTTCCTCCAGGAAGTTTCATTAGAGTTGGTCTTTAAAAGCCATTGTGAGTGAGTAGAAATTCCAAACAAAAGGCATGCTTGTGAGCAGGGGAAAGAGATCGAAAAATGTGGGCCATGTGTGGGAAATGGGGAGTAAGCCTCGTGAGCCTTGGGTTCACCATGGGTGGGAATTATGTGACCCAAGTTGGGAAGAGCTGGCCACAAAGGCCAGAGGTAGAAGTGGTTTAGAGCCGGGGGGGAAGGGCTTGACAAGGCCATGGATTCAGGGTGTGATTCGTGAGCCCCAGGGAGGATTGGGAGAAGGGATCAGATGTCCCCTCACCGGAGAGGCTGAAGACTGAGGCCTATTGGACAGGCTGACTTCCTCTGCATCTTTGCTCCCCTGGTCACATGAAGTGGAAGGATGGATTCACACCCTGGGTGGGGACTTGGAAAACAGCAGCAGAGCTGGTGTGGCCTAGAGACACACAGATGATGCAGAAACAGTCCTGGGGCAGATTCCCCCCCCCCCCCCCCCCCCCGCAAGCAAGCACATGCCCGGGGATAGAGCCTCGAGCAGGCCAGTCCTGCCTGCCCTGACCCAGCCTGAGTCCAGAAGCCTCTCGCCGCCCCTCCTGCACTGCAGGCCCTGCTCCTGCTCAGCTCTCCCTCCCTCCTGGTTGTCTTTGGCATGGTCCTGCCTCATCCTGGGAATGTTTGACTTTCGTGGGCCTGAACATTGGCTTCTGGGATTAACCCTTGTGAGCCTTCTTTCATTTATTCATTTATCCTGCACGTTTTAAGTGCCTGCCAGTGCTAGGCAATGTGGTAAATGATGGAGAGGCAAAGACAAAAATGAAGAAAGTCTGCACCCTCAAGGAGCTTCCACTCTCCTGAAGGAGAAGGGGAAACAGCACATATATAAGGAAATTTATACAAAGTGGTTTTCTTTGGAGGGAGGAGGAAAACAGCTATGATTTCATCTGCATAGTAGACAGAGCTTCTGGCATGAAGAACTCCCTCCACCGGTGCAGGTTATCACCGGCTCTTGGAGAGTCTTAGAGAGATACCTAGGGCCCTGAGACGTTAAATGACTTGCCCAGAGTCAAACAGACAATACTGTGTGTGTCAGAGACAGGATTTGAACCCAGGTCTTCCTAACTATCTATTATGTCATGATTCCTCTATTCAAAATCTATATCTAGACTGGGGTGGGGGAAGCATTGGCAGTTTGGGTGGGGGTGGGGGTTGAGAAAGGGCTCACATAAAAAGTTCCCCTTGAGCAGAACTGTGCAGGAACTAGGGAGGGCGTGCCTGGAGTGCGGGGCAGCCTGGGCTGGGGCAGGAGGAGATGGAGTGGCATGTGTGAGAAGAAGCTAGTGGGACAGTCTGGCTACCCTGCAGAGTATGGGAAGGGGAGTAGTGATTGGTGCAAGTTGTGAAGGGCTTCCCACAGCAAAGATCCAAGGCCTGACAGGGATAGCCCCAGTTTTGGGCAGGAGGGTTGGTGTGCACCGAAATGGGCCTCAGAAACATTCCTGGAGCAGCTTTGTAGAGCCTGGGCTAGAGTAGGAGGAGTCTGTGTTAGGGAGACCACTTGGGATGCTCCTGCGGGGATCCAGGCCAGATGTGATGAGGGCCTGAGCTGGAAGTGGGAGGGCTAGGTGAGTGAAGAGGAGGGGGCAGACACGAGAGGTCCTGGGCACCTTGGAGCTTAGAGGATGTTCCGTGGTTTGGTCAAGGAAGACTTCTGGAGCTCAGGAGCCATTAGGGCTGGTTCTTGGATCTCAGAAGGCACAGGTGTGCATGTGGCTGGCCACTTGGTGACCCCCCTGCCCCAGGAGTCCCAGGAACATGGGGGAGCAGGACAAGCTTTCAGAGCTCAGGAGCACTTTCTGGGGTTCAAGGAAAAGAGAATTTGTAGGCTTGCTCCCACTATTCACAGCTAGATTAGGAGGTTCCAGTTTCTGGGGTCCAGCAGACCCACATGCATGGTTTGAAAGGAGCCAAGTCAGCACTTGGGGTTGTTTTCCACCCTGGCAGTAGAGCTGGGGATATGTTCCTAGATCCAGGTAAGGGAACCAGCCAGCAATGGGAGGGCTGCAGAGGCTGAAATAATCAGGGCAGTGTCTCCATCCAAAGAAGGGCCAGCTCAGCCAGAGGCCCTGGAAGATCAGGGTCAGCAATGCCCCTGGCCCTGCATAGGAAGCCAGGCTGCCATGAGCAGCAGCAGTATTGGTCCCAGCAGAAGAGAGCAGAACTGGCAGTTTGGCTTGGCCAGGAGGAAGGAGCAGGCAGTCGCCACGAGCCCAGCCATGGCCCGTGAGCCCATCAGGCTGCGTAGATCAGACAAGCCAGGACTCAGGAAGCTGGGCCAGCTGAGTGCTGAATGTAGTGTCCAGGGGCACAGGCAGAGGGTCTGGCTAGATAGCGAGGAGGAGCAGGCAGAGGGTCTGGCCAGATAGCGAGGAGGAGCAGGGGAGCCCAGCCTGGAGGGGTTAGCATTTAGGAGCTGGGTTTGGGTGGAAAACCCAGGAGTTCAGTGCTGAGCCAAGGACATCATACATCAGGAGCCTCTTCTGGTCTTGGGACTAAGAGCCCGAAGTCTGTGAGTCTGAGCAGGCCTGTGCCCACAGAGGCACACTTCACTGGAGCAAGTGAGCAGCCAGGCGCTGCCGGAGGGGCTTCTCCCTGCCAAGCTGGCAGGCCTCGTTTGGAGGGCAGGGCCCCTGCAGGCCTGGCCCAGGCCGCCTGGAGAGCCCCTTTCCCAAGACTTGTCCTGCCTCGGAGGGTTCTCTCCTTGAAGAGGACTTGCCGGGGGGGTGGGGCGCACACGATGTTGTGTTTAGTCCAGTGAGATGCCTCTCTCGCCACTGAAATGCCAGACCATCAGTAAAGAAATCCCAGTTTCCAGCTCAGGCCCCTGGATCTCATTCTTCGGCTGTGGCACTCGCTATCCCTGGGAGGTCTCGGAATGAGCCCGTGGGGCTGACTCACAGCTGCTGCCTTCTTTTCCACTCCGGTTTCTATGGAAATAGACATCAGCACAGACAAGGGGAGGGCTTTGAAGTGTTGGTGGTTCCCTAGGTGTTTGTGAATGTTGTTTGTGCCAGGGCCCATTTCTATGGAAACAGAGGCAGAAAAGGAGAGGCCTGGGCAGTGGTGCAGTTAACTGTGTCCCCAGGAAGGCGCCGGGTTTGTTGAATGAAAAAGTGATGCAGACATCAGTGGACTGGTTTCTTCCGTCATCAGAGCAGGAGGCAGAGAAGTACATGTAAAATAGTAATGATCCAGTTTAGACTTCCTTCTCCTTAGACTTCTAAGGGCTGCGTGCATTATTTCATTTGAAAAATTGGACTTAATAAAATGAGCATTTGCTGCTGATCCCCTTTCTTAACATCCCCTGGGATTGACTTGTGGTAAGCCAGAAAAAATCCGTGAGTGCCAGTGCCACGCTGCCACGTGACTCGGCTCCTGGGGACATTTGACCGCCTCATTCATAGGAAGGAGTTTGGCTAGAGCTGAAGGCAGGTGGTGCTGGTCCTCGTTCCTTTGCTGGCTACTGGCTGATGGACTATGTGACTACAGCGTGGTACGGCACAGTGTGCCTGGGGCACTGGGTGTT